ATATCAAACAATGACTTTAGCTGGGAAAATACCTTTTTTTTAAGTATTAGTCTATACTAAATTATTACTTCTCAACAACCAGGTTCCATTAAAAAAAAAAGCACAATCTAAAGGTCAGCATTTAATTCCTACTTGCAGTAGTCTACCTTTTAAGAATGTTTTTTCAGATATGGCTACAACCTAATTTTTAGAGAATTGTCTAATAATAACATCATTTTGAAGATAATAAGTATAATTTAATTCATATGTTTCAGCATTTTATTTATCTAAAACAAATAGATTGTCATTAAATATTGACTGTTTTATTAACTCAGAGCACCTGGGAAAACACTTATGATTAGGTTAATTTATGTTATATTTTCCCCTCAACTTGTAAAAGATTAATCAACCATTTTATGGTCTAATTTAGGTAGCTAATTAAAAACAGAGTTCAACACATGCTACACTGTCTTGCTAATAAATCTTGACAGCTCTGTAACAAGATGGTTTGTATTTCAAATTGTTGCATATAAATGTAGATTTCTGATCTTCACCCAGCAGCTTGGAAGTAAGTTGTATACTTGGTTTAAACTCCAGGATTGAGAAAGTGCAATTTTTTCCAAACAGAAATTATCCCCAGTCAGACTTTATCTTATGCTTCCCCTAGTGAAGTCAGAAAGGGTCTTAGCCAACAGGTTTTTAGAAACAGACTAGGAATCTCTAGTACTGTTAGTTCTCCGAACATTTGTTACACTTGTTAAATTTAAAATGTACAAAAACTTGCTTATTTTCTGCTATAGCCCTTGAGAGAAGTTCCTGAGGTTACTTACTGGGTTTTAGAATCTCATTTAAGAAATCTGCTCAAAGTGCTAGCTATATATATTTGTCTTCTGATGTCTTGATGTGGGACCATTCTATCTTTTAAATGAACACATTAATTCTGAGGAGTTTAGAGCATGTCACTTAACCCTAGCCTTAGAAAGGGCAAATGGCAGAGAGTAACTATCTTCCTGGGGAGGGACACTCTGAGCCACTATACTTGAGAATATTTTTGTCATTTTAATGACTCCTTTGATTCTAACTGTCCTGTGCAGAGAAATAAAAGTGCCAATCAACCTGGTGTGACTATCCTCAACCACCTTGGGCTATTACTAATCAGCCTGTCTGGGAATTGCAATTCTAAAGAAAATGACAATGTGAGCGATCTGTATGAGATCAGGGGAGGCAGTCAGACAACTCCCATCTCTTTTAAAGTAAAGAGTTTTAAACTCATGTTAGACTACTTTGGGTCACTTAAGAGAGGAGCATGACACAGAATTATTTCTGGAGCAGGACAGCCTGGGTTGGCCTATAAGCTTTGTCACTGTCTAGCTGTGACAACTCCAGCAAGTTGCTTCACCTCTCTGTGCCTGTGTTTCCTCATCTGTAAAAAAGCACCTATTTCACAGGAGTATAATGAGGATTAAACTTGCTAATCCTGTAAAACTTGAAACAGTGCCTGACACACTGGAATAACATTTAGCTACAGAGAGAGAGATTGAGAGACTGACATTCATTCTGGCCACAGCACGGTCAGCTTGTTGTGTAAAACCAAAAATGAAAAGGGAATCAAGGTGGGACAGGAGCCTCTGCCCTGTGAAGTCTAACAGTGATTATTGTATAACACACAATATTTCTCTAACTTAATTCCCAAACCAAGGTCATCACATTTGTAAAACTATCAAGACTTAAGCCAAATCAAAAGAGAAACTTAAAAAAAAAAAGCCCTGTACATTTAATATTTGACCAGGGACGTTTAAATCAATACACCAAGCCTACATGTCCAGGGTAGGCGCTACTCCACCTTGTAAGTTAAGTCCACAGCCCGGTGTTTCTCAAACACCGTAACACCACCCACCAGAAGGTCAAGGCCAGTTTCACCAGATACGTGGGGTCCTCACGGGCACCTGTTAAATTTGGGAGCCGGATAATGAGCTGGAAAAATAAACGCAGGATGTTAATTGTGGCTCAACACAAACTCTGGTTCCAGGGCAGAGGAATGGAGGGCAGTAGCGCGCGTGGGTTTTGCTGCGGTTACGGCTGTGAAAAAGACGCCCACGTTCTCGAGGGGCGGCATCAGCTCCACACTGACACCTCGGTGGGCTCTATGCTACCCTGACCCCTCCCCATTACGCTGATGGAATCTCATTAGGACAAATGGACCGAACTACAATCAAATTCCCAGACGTCATGCAAATCCGCGCAGGGCCTTGCCACTGGTTAGGCCACTAGCAGGGCTGTGTATCAACCTATTAAGTCCATTAAGACTCGCTCAGACACAGCCACGACCTCATTTCCCGAACGATTACCTGCTGACCCTCGGACTCATCCATCCATGCCCACACGGTTTTGTTTTTTAAATCTCAAATGCTTTTAAAATGTCTCCCTCTCTTACATGCTCCCAGTTTTGAGGACTTGTTTTAACCATGATGCTGAATTGTAACTCTGGTTAATTATTATTTATGCCGTTTTCCAACTGGCCTGCCTGACCTTACCCACTGAGCGGGAGACACAATGGGGTTCAACGCTGACGAGAAGCAGGGATTTTTTGAGCGGAGAGAACTCCAGCGAGGATTTTAGGTAAAGCGCTCTTTAGTGTGGCGTCTCCATCCACAGTATGATGGTTTGAAAGTAAAAAGGCCTCTTTCAAAATAATTGTGAAGTCCACACATTTGCTCAGACAACTGGAATAGTCTAAGTTATTTAAAATTTTTAATAAAGCAGACAGCGTTTATTTTTTTTTCCTTTTAAAAAAAATCCATTACCCCTACAGCCGCATTAGGCACTGCTGGGACAATCCGAGGACGGTGCGTGTCAGCCACTGGCGGCATTTGCAGTTTGCTCTTGTCCGGTCACCGCCACTGGCCCGGTGCCTCCTGGGTCCGACAGTCGGTTTAGAGGACACGGCTCTGATGGATGCTAAACCCTCCCATCTCCCGCGGCCTGGCCAAACCCCCTCGGCCCCCAGGTCCAGCCGCCGGGCGCGGCCGGCCTCTCTCAGCGCGGCTCCCAGGCTGCGCTCCCGCTGCAGGCGCACGGCGAGGGCTTCCAGCGCGACTTCATCAGCGTTTTGGAATCAATCAAAAGGAACGTGGCAGGTGGAGGGCAGCCGCCTTGGAGACTGCGTGAATCTTCCTGTGGGGATTTCCATAGCCTGCCCCAGGTGCTTCTAAACCCGCCTGACATTAAAGATTCAGTTATTTTCCTGCCAGTTCCGACCAAGCCGGCCCCAAGTGTGTCTGATCTTAGAAAACCCGGCCTGCCTCCGGCTGGGCTCTGCCGGGTTCCACCCAGTCCCCGCAATCACCATCCCAAGAGGAGGAGGAGGGGAGGTGGAGGTAGAAATGTTAACATCAATACAATCAATGGCAACAGCTAACTATTAGAGAGCCCCCCTCCCACACACACACACTCCCGCGTCCACACCAGAGCCTTCGCTCCCCACAGCTCAGCCCGATCCAGCACTATTTCCACTGCGCAGACGACAACACTAAGGCTCACGGCTCTAGCCAGGACCTGAAGCCAGGCGTGGGACTCCAGAGCCCCTATTCTTAATCCACGGGTCCCTGGGAACAGTGAGAAGGGTGGCTGTCACAGCTGGCTAAACCTCGAGACTACGGCAACTCCTGACAATAATAAAAACCTAAAGGACAAAAGGAGGGGGAGGGCGAGGCTGGGAAAAGGAGCGGCTTAATCCGCAGGGTCAGGCCCTTTTTAATTCTCCATCCCATCCGGGTCCTGGAAAGTAGGGTGGGGACAGGGAGTCGGGTACAGTTCTGTTCTCCGCTTGTTTTCCGAAGTCTCCAGCCTCTTTGAAGCTAGTAACTGAGCCTGGACTCGAGAAATTCGTGCTCAGGTCTGAGGGTTAGGGTGGTGACCTGGGAGATGGGGTAGGGGTCGGTGCCAGGGCCCCTGGGAGGAGGCCGAGTTTCCGGAGGCCTGAGTCTGACCTCTCCAACAGTTCACCCCAAAGACCAGTAACTGGCGGGAAGCAGTGGGCAGAGGTCGTGATTATGACCCCAGGGCCGCTGTCCCTTTGGAAGTGGACTCAAACCGATTTGAGGACAGAATTTCCGGCAGCCGCGACCCCGAAACAACCCTCATTTCTCAATCAATGGCGTTTGAATATTCTTTGCGCCTCGACGTGTACAGGGTCCGCGGAGACACGCGTCCCGGCCCTCGCTCTTCCAGCACCCGGGCCAGGGAGGCGGAAACGGGCGGCACTGCCCGGGGCGCCGCGAAGCCTTCAAAGCCTCTCGCAGCTCCGGCTGGCTGCAGTGCGCGCCTTTGCCCGACAGGGACCAGCACAACTCCACGCTCCGCGCGCAGCAGCCAGAAGAGACGCGGTGCCACCCGCCCGCACAGCTCACCCTCCCGAGCCCAAGCCGCTCGCCTAGCGAAGCGGGTGTGACCCCCTCCGGGTTCCGGTAACGAGGAGGACTGTAACAAAAAAAAAGTTCACAGTCTCTCGCCTTGGCAAGGCGCCGTTGCCCCCACCCGCTCTCCCCATCTGGGGAGAAGTTGGTCTAGGGAGGAGACTGTGACCCCAGAGACGCAAAACACTTCTTCTAGGGTCTAGGACTCAGAGAGGAAAAATTAAATCCTAGCAACACTAGATTGATTTGAGTGGGACGCCGCCGTGGCTAGAAGGTATCGTTTCCCTGAGCGCTTTTCCAATACCTGCGCAGCTTCTTGGCAGGGAGGTCGCCTGATTCCCTGTTGGGCACCACGGACCACTGAGCAGCCAGTGCTCCACGGGAAGTTTCTGGAGGTTGTTGCCAGAACCGGGCGCACCGGGTTCCGCACCGGGGCAACGTTCTCGCCGCTACCCGCCCGCTATGTTTGGTAGCTCCTCTGTCACTCCCCGCCCCTGGTGGTCCGCAGCTGTACCCTTACCACCTCCCCAACATATGCATGCCACGTCTCCCTTCGCTCACGCTATGGATCGCGCCGGCGCCCCTGTTCCTGGCCAGGAAACTCACCGGTACCAGGCGAGGCCCTTGTCATAGCTGCGGTCGAAGAAATGGGGCTCGGCGCCCACGGCGCGCACGTCGGGGTGCACGCGCAGGAACTCCAGCAGCGCCCGCGTGCCGCCCTTCTTCACGCCGATGATGATGGCCTGCGGCAGCTGCTTGCTCCCGGACCCACTAAAGAAGCTGGAGATGGGGCTGGGGGAGTCCGGCGCCTCGGGACTCAGCTCCTCTTGGCTCGCGGCGCCCTCCGGCTTATCCCTGCCTGCAGCCAGTGCGGTGGCCGGCGGCGCCCTTTGGAAAGGCAGCCTGGGGGGCGTCCCATTCGGAGCTGTGGCCAGGGCTGGCGGGGCGTGTGCAGCGCGGGGCCCAGAGCCCAGCAGCAGTAACCCGGGCGCGGCGGCGCAAGAGCCGGCACACGAGTACAGGAACAAGTACAGCCAGACGCAGAGCATGGCGAAGAGCAGCGCGAGCTTCCTCCTCACCGGCGGCGGGGGCGTCGGCGGCTGCGGCAGGAGCCGGCCGGGGACATCGAGGCAGGACCGGCCGCCGCTCAGGCGCTGCCCCATGCGCTGCCCGCGGGCGCGGCCAGGGGCATGGCTCAGAACATGACGGGAGTCTCACCGGAGCAGTGAGCACTGAGAGGGTCACCAGGGCCGCTGGACGCCTGGACGGCTTGGTTTATTGCCCCCGCGTGCCCGCGGCCGCTGCTGCTGCTGCTACTGCCGCCGTTGCTGCTGCTGCTCTTCCCCAGGTGGCGGCGGCAGCTGTAGTGGCGCCGGCTCTTGACATGTTTCCCGGGAGAAGCTGCAACTGGAACGGAAAGTCGGGACGGCGGGAACTGCTGGCAGATGGACTGCTCTTTCGGTGCGAGACGACTGCACTCCTGCACCTTGGCCACTTTAGACGGTGCGCACCACGGCTCGCCGGGGCTGCTTCCTCGCAGTCCTGAGAACTGGGCTTCGAGAGCAGCCCCGGCACTTGCCCGCAGAGGCTGCGGAGGAGAACTGCGCAGGAAGAGAGCCGGGGACTGAGGTGGAGTAGGCGGGCCCGGACATTTGGAGTGACAGGCCGCTCTACCTACCAGAAAGCTCAAGCACCATGCAACTGTAGTCGCTTAGCCAAGAGCTACACAGCCAATCTTCTTTCGGAACGTGGGGGTGGGGAAAGGGTTCGGGGCTGTGGAGTGCGGTCGGGGTTTGCTATTGGCTGAAGGATACAAGGGGCGGGCTCAGGGAGGCGGAGCTAGGAGCTGGTGACAGGAGCAGATGGTGGGAAGGATGCTGGAGTGACCCGACGCTGGTCGGACCCCACTGAGTGGTGCGCTCAGGCACCCGCGCTCGTTTCCGCGCTCGCTTCCCGCGAGCCAGTCTTGGCTTGCCAGGACTCTGCATCCAGATGTTTCGCAGGCTGGCTCGTGATGTTTATGCGCTGAGAGTAGAGAGGGCATTGATGGAGGGAAAGCGGGCCAGAGATGCACCCAGCCCCGGAACCCCCCATCCCACGCTGGAGACTCAGAGGAAGGCCCTTCCGGGACGCACTCCGATTTAAGAAGTTTAGGGGAAAAACGGTTTGGAAATCGCTGACAACTTCCCCTCCACACACACCCTTGATCTGATCTTCCTTCTCGTTCTTCCCCAGGAGTGATCTCCCTCCATCTGCCTGTTAACCCAGAGCGGCATAAACTCCAGACTCCAAAACTGCAGGCAAAAGGTTGGGAAGGGGGGCGGAGAGAAGGGAGAGATTAAGGGATAGAAGCTGATTTTTTAAGTCTCCTGGTCGAACCGTTTGAGTCCATGTGGGAAGTTTTACTTGGCTATCAGTCTGTTAGGGACGTTAGGTTCGGGAATATGTTCTATCTTCACTTTTTCCTGGATAAATACTAAAGCCAACATTCGCTGCATTTAGGAGACAGTTCGGTTTGTCAACTAGTTATTAGGTGTCATTTTTTTGCCACTAGGTTTTTTTTTTTTAAATAGAACGTCAGTTTGTAGCAAATCCAGTGAGTTGCACTCATTTAATAGTCAAAGTCTACTAGAAGCCACCCTTCCCTGTTCGCTTCCGCCTAGGGACCGCGGAGGACTCGAGCGATTAAGCAGTTCAGTGGCAGTAACCGCTCGCTGGCGGGAAGCATGGGCTGGGGTGCGCGCTCCGCGAAATCTTGCCCAGGCGACGGAGTTAGAAAGTTATTTGGATCCACAAGTTCATCCCCGTAGTGTTTAAAAACTTTTCCGTGCCTGCAGCCAGCGAGCCTCCAACTCCCGGCTGCTTCGCGTGGTTCCGGGACGGAACTTTGCTTCCCACTCTGACCCCCGCGCGACCCACGCGAGTGGCCGCGTGTCGCCCACGAGGTGATTCCTTCCTACCCGCTGCCGACACTGGATTTCACTGTCCGCGCAGGCGAACGCCGCGGAGCCGCCCGCAACCCGGGTCCCGGTTCTGCGCTATTTGGAACCCGGGGCCGGCATCCAACCGTGCACAGTCTTCCTGTAGCCCAACCTCACACCCCCCGCCCGGTCATCCCCGCCGTCTGGACCAAGCCAAGAAAGTTTTTTAGCACCTCCATCCGAATGTGCCAGAGCGACAGCGGTGACCAAGAAGGATTCAGATGACACAGCGGCCACCACGGGATATACGTGGCCCTGCTGTGTTCCACCGACCTCTTTATAACTACCCCGGGCCTAAGCCATTTTTCTACAAAATTGTTGAGGGGGAAATCATTTAAGTGTAGGATAGGATTTTCTTCTCCCCGCCCCCACCTTTTCTATCCGCAGCGATAACTTCTTACCAGTTTTTTTTACCCCTCTCGCTGGGATGTTGTGTTTGTTCTTCAACGTGGTTTAATTGCCCGAGACTTTAATTTAATTAGCCAATTAATTAAACTTTTAAGCCATGAGGACAAATACATTTCTAAGCACTAGCCCGACTTTTTGTTCTGAAAAGTAAAGGGGACTTGTTAGTGTGTCCGAAGGATGTATTTTCAAATTCACGTTATTTAGGTGAAAAATGAAATCGCTGATTTGAGAGTGGCTAATTCCATCTTCCATGTGGCTACCTTCAGGCCTGCCTGGATGTGAATAAAAATGGTCCCTGTCCTGTGGGTTAGCCACAGGTCATTAAGTGCGATTACAAATCGAGGCCACCGGATATATTTGGGGTTTATTTTTCCGGGGGTGGAGGGAGGAAGGCAGCAAGTGGAAGCAAAGACGTGGGCGTCGGAAATTGTCCCGAGTGCTGCGCAGAGCCGAGCACCCCAGAGCTAAGTTGCAGCTGGGCCCACCCACGCCCCTTCAATCCTCTTTCCCCCCGCCCCCGCCCAGAACAATGCGGGAATTTGCCCGGCGCCTCCCAAAGTCCAAAGTCGGTAGGTGGGCAGGTACGCGTGGACAGCGGTACCAGAGCAGGACCTGGGCTGCTACCTGACGCTGTTGTCCTTTAGTCCATCCGACTGGTCCTCCTACATTGCCCGGGAGCCCCAAGCTGCACCCAGAAATCCTCCTGTGCTGCGGCCCCCTCGGGTCGGCCCTTAGCAAGTGCCATGTCACCTAGCTCTCACTCTGCCAATGCGGGCCCTGGAGCTTGACCCTGGGCAGAGCTGGTAGCCAAGCTGACTGTGAGCTAAGTTTGAGCCGATCCCTGCCCTTCCCTGTAGCTCAACAGTGTGGGGGTTCCCGCATGTTTGGAGCCTGGCCAGCACTACGCTACCATCAAAACCGCAAGTTTTATCTTTGAGAAACAGAGTTTTTGCACTCAGAAAATATGGAAAGAAGAAAACTCTGCTTCGGCACATCTATCAGGCTTATGTTTTATTTTGGTTTATTTGGGATTACCTAGGGCCTCTCTAACCTGAAAAGCAGTCGCTCTCCTTTCTCTGCCCTCTAATCCTGTGGCTGGCAACCTGTTGTGTGACTCCAACCCGGTCCCTCTCTGGCCCTAGAATTTCCTTACCTATAAAATGACAGACCTGAGCCAAAAGATCCCCGCAACACGCTCCGCCTGAAGTTCCTTCAGTTCTGGGCTCCGGACCGTTGGCCCCCACAGCGGGCCCGTGCTCCAGAGCCGCCTCCCGACCAGCGGCCTTCCTGGCCGGTGCGCCCACCACTAGTCCCTGCGGGACCGCCACGCAGCCATTTCCTGGGGCTGCCTGAACCGGGGGCGCAGATCCCCGTTTCCTGCCACCGGAACCCGTACCCTGTGGCTCTCTGGTCCCTGGGGTGTTGGCAGCTGCGAGCTCGCCCCGCCCTCGCATGCACCGCGGGGGAGAAGAGCGGTCCCCGCGGCCACCGCTCCCGTGCCCGCCCGCGAGGGAGCGCTCCGGCTCGCGCCGCACAGAGGTTCGGTGGCTGGGACAGGAACTGGGGAACCGCTGGTCTCTCCAGCGCTGGGAAAGGTTTCTTGCCTCGGCTTGGACTCCTGTCCCTGCGGCTGGATGTCACAACTACGTGGCACCGCCTTGTCTTCCTCGGGCCCAGGGCACAGCTTGGCGCGCGGGGAACCTTGGTCAGAGACAGGCGTCTGCCCAGCCAGGCGACTGCCGCTGGCCGAGCAGACAGCGGGGAGGAGAAGTTCTTTGTTGAGAGTGGCTTGATGGGGGGGCTCCACCGAAAGGAAAAGAAGGCTTCCCGGCGCAAGCTACCACTGCGCTATGGGAACCGATTCCCCACCAACCTCCGCGGTCCCCCTGGCCCGAATCCTGCGGCTAAACGCAGCGCCTGGTGCAACCGGCTGCACAGCGCGCAGGAGAGATGCCAGTCCTTATCTCGTGGGTAAAAGGAGTTTGATGCCCACATTGGCTTGGCAACTTGTGTCCTGGGGATGCGCTGGTCAGCAGAACATTCATGCACTTTGTACCTTGCCCTGGGCCCCTGGTTTCCTTACTCCTGGAGAACACAGCAGGGATTGAGAAAGTGGGGAGACTGAGGGAGAGGCTGTATAAACCCCTGCGTCTCTTCCTTCAGGGTTGTCAGGAGTGGCTACTTTGCTCCTCTGTAAGTCCCAACTCCTGTCAGGGAGTCCTCTCCCCATAGCCGGGGAGAGGACCAGGTTCCCACAGGAGGACTGTTCAGGCCTATGGTGGTAAAGACACCCTCACCAGAGCCAAGGCCTGGGGCTCCGCTGTTCTGTGTATATTGATCCTTCTTTAATTTCCCTTCCCTCTCCCACACAAAAAAAATCCTATGTGCCCATAAAGGTGCACTGCAACCCTCTTGGTGTCTCCAGGATGCCCACTTTCCCAGTGCCTGAAACTTTTTTTTGGAGGTACTGGGGATTGAACTCAGGACCTCCTGATCAATAGGCAAGTGTTGTACCACATGAGCTGTGCCCCAGCTCTTTTGCTTTCAATCTCTATTCCAGATAGGACCATATGATTGGCTTCATACCTCCATCATCCTATCTCTCCTTCCAAGTAGCTGGGTTTACAGGCATGCGCAACCATGACTGGGCCACAAGCATATTTAATTCTCTCCAAGACAGCATTTCTTAGATGCTGGCAGGATCTTTTGCACACCGTCCACCACCAAACCGCTACAACACTGGCACTCATTGGACTTCTTCCCTCCTGCCACAGCAAAGGCTTTGACCAGACAGAGACCTGC